AAGGTTGAGGAGATTCCCGAAGACGAGCTTGACGACGTTCTTTGCGGATTTTATGCAGAGGCAAGACTGCAAAACGGAGATGAATATGAGCCAGATAGCCTTGCTGTTATGCAAGGCTCCTTAGACCGCCATCTAAAGAACAATGGCAAGAGTTACAAGATACTACAAGTCCATAAGTTCGCCATGTTCATCTGCTTTTGGATGCTATATAATTAATAGGTAATAGGACTACATGCTTGTCCAATTTGGAAATAATTGGATTCAAAAAATTCCTCTGAGAGTCAAATTGGACTCAGCCGTATTTTGGCTGTCCTCGGAATTTTTCTCATCCAATTATTTCAAACTTGGACAGCATGCAGTCCTATTACATATACAAATCGCGGGTATTTCGTCATAGTTTTCTAATTTGTACCAGTTGGCATTTTTAAGAAGATTTCTGGGCTTTGAAAAATATCCAAACTGCTCGGAGTGTCTATAAACTTAGCTTAGCTCTGAACCACTTGACGTTGATTACAACACTGAAAAAAATTGTTTTAGTGGATAATTTTGGCATTTTCAAATTAGCAGAACATTTGACATGTTTTAGCCTGCATTGATTTTGAGCCGAACAAAATAAATCAAAACAAGAATTAATTTACAAACATTTACAGCTTAAAAACTTAAAGCTTATAAATACGCTTAAGTATTCAAAATTAAATTAATTTTACCATAGGATAAGGTTTATTGCAATAACACAAAGAAAAAGATGTAATTCCTTACAAAATAAAAATTGTATTTGTTTTCAGAAATTATTCCATGAAGTAGTCAGAAGAACATGACCTTATGCTTAGCAGGGAGGTTCTTCTTCTTGAACCATTTAAGCACCCAAGACAAAGTAAAGAGAGAGGGGAAATCTGGGGTGAAATAGCACTAAGCCTAAATGGGATAAGTTTACTGAAATTCAAAGTTAGTAAGCACTCTGTGAGGGACAGGCTTACTCTTTTGCTTGCTAAATACAAAGAAAAGATGAGAAAGGAAGAGCAAGGTTCTGGCATTGCATGTGATGATGAAACCGAAATAGAGATAGCATTGTCTGAAATCATAGAAAAAGAACAAGCAGCTGATTTAGAAAGGAAAGAAAATTCAAATTCCCTTTCTAAAACGAATGAAAATGATAAGGCCTCCGCAGAAGGAAGTAGATTAAAAGCCATGGAGTGCCTGGGACAAAGCAGAAAGAGGAATACTGATACAAGTTGCGATGAGGTTATTAAAAGAAAAAGCAGAAGAAGTACTACTGAAGCTGTGCAAATCCTAAAAGAGAAGTTCAAGAATGAGAGAGAAATCCTGAAGGAAGAAATTGAACTGAAAAAGAAAGACCAAGAAAATAAAGCCACCCAGAATCAGATGCTTATAGATCAGCAGAGACAGAACCAGCAACAATACTAGGATGTATTGAGGATCATGGCTGAACAGCAGCAGAGGCAGGAACAGCAGCAACAAAATTTTCAAATGCTTTTCTTGCTACAGCAACAGCAACAGAGTCAAATACTCATGGGTTTGCTGGAAAAAGTCTTGCCCAAGACCTCATGAGAGAAAGGTGAAAAAGCAGTTAAGAATAGTAAATTGGGCAAGAGACTTATTACAGAAACTGGTCAGCCAAATCGCAGAATCATATCGCTGAGCCAGCATGGGTAGGCAACTCTTTTGAGAAGCATGCATAGCCCTTCTATGTCATCAGAAATACTTCTCTGTTCACATCTCAACACCAGTGGTAGTTGGAGTGCTGCAACCAGGTGAGGGAGGTCTTGCCTCTCGACACAAAACTCTGCTTTGTATTCGGCGGAGTTCATACATGTAGGATCCAGATCGAATCGCTCATACAGTAGTTTCCATTGCGAAATTCAGGATTTTTTTGTTTTGAAGTATCGTACAGCAATAAAAACTCTTCATCTGAGACAATGTTGTCGTCGTAAGGAGTGCAAGGCAGTCTTTCAGTTTCTGAGAGTTTCTGCCAAATGATCTCTGACAATCCCTGACAATATGTCTAACTTGGAAGTGCTGCCTACATTAATATGTTCAAGCCAAAGGTTTTTCAACCGATATAAGTGTTGGCTTGCTTGCAAATTAGTAAAATGACTCCTTTCGCTGTATAGGGCAACCCGCATCAAACATTCAGGCCGATAAATGTTAGCTTGCAAAGGCACACTAACCCCTGGGTAACCTGCACTAACCACAAGCCAAGTCTTGATACAGTTGGTTTGTGTGAGCAAAATAACTCCCCATAAGGAAACCAGAAGGAATACTGAAAGAAAGCTATCAATAAACAATACAACTGCAATCAACATTTTCAAAGCCTACACGAAATTAGGAAGCAGAATTTTCGATAAATGAAAAAAGACATGCAATAAGCACAAGCTTAAACACAAAATTACAAAGGATATGAAGAGAGAATTTCAATACATGTAAACAGATAACGGACCGCATCTCAAAAAAAGCTATAAAAGAAAAAAACCTACCTCAGCAACTGAAGGCTGGGAAAATAAAAATGAAGTCTCTTAAACCCATTAAATGGTACACAAAAGCGAAGCGGCCAACACAAAGTGGCAGAAAATCCACTCCCACAAGCCAACTAGCACCCAGTCTTCTTATCTATAGGATCTAAACTAGTGCCCAGTCATCTGAGTAGAATTCCTTTTGATCACGTGACTCTCGCTAACGGACAAACTTCTGCTGCCAACTTAGTGTGAGCTCCGCACACAAAAATGGGGGGTCACCGACTTCATTTTTTTGGAGAGAACATGCTTGGAAGAACACCCTAAATCTGAAAAAACCGGGCTTCACTAGCAATTAAGGCCACAGTGTCTGTAAGCTTAAAAATATTGCAATTAGATCTTTGAAATGAAATGTTCTCTGCAAAATTTTAAGTTTAAGTGGGGACCTACATGTATTAAGTGAATTTAGTCAACTGGTGAGGTTCCTTAAGAAAAAGTTTGCATTTAGTGACCATAGTTTCACAAGCCTTGCAGCCGCAAGATGGCAGGATTTGATGTCCCGAGAACCAAAATCTTGAATTTCTTTTTAACTTCCCACATTGATTTTTTGTTTATTTTTTGACAATGTGGACATAAATTGTAAATGAAATATGTTTCTGGAAACTATTAGGGGTCATTGAACGTCCCAGATCATTAAATCCAGGCAAAGCTATAACAATGGCCATCTGCCCTATCATTGTTTATTTTATTACTTTGCACACGCTTTCATGCATGACTTGGCATTTGCGTGCGCAGTAAGGATGCGCAGAAACAATTAGTGCGAACATCCTTAAAGTGGGACATAGGGTCCTGCTTGGAACAGATAGGGAAAATGCCCTCTATCTCACAGCAGCTCAGTGATATTTATCGTAACACTGTCGAGCTTAACAGACAGAAGTTATGATCTATCATAAAAACTGTTGGGCTTTGTGGTAAACAGAACATAGCATTACAAGGCCACCACGATGACTCGTCACACATAGATGAAGCTTCAGGCAACTCAGGAAACTTTCAAGCACTGCTGAATTTCAGAGTGGAAGATGGCAATAAAGCGCTAGCAACTCATTTTGCCAACAGCCCAAGAAATGCAACATACCGCTCTAAGACGATCCAAAATGAAATCATAGAAGTGTTAGGCACTTACATCCAAGACAAGATCGTTGCAGAGATCAATGAAGCAGGTGCATTTTCCCTACTGGCAGATGAGGCAAGTGACAGCAGTAACGAGGAACAACTACCACTCATTCAGGTTTGTCGACAAAGAAAGAAATGTCAGAGAAGAATTCGTTGGGTTCTACGAGTGTCAAGACGTCGTCACTGGTCAAGCTATAGCCACTCTTGTAATGAAGGCCGTTCAAGACCTTGGCTTGTCTATGGATTACTGCAAGGGACAGTGTTATAACGGTGCAGGCAATATGTCAGGACCTTGTAATGGTGCAGCAGCCATTGTCAGAAGGCAATATCCAAAGGCTATATACACTCATTGTATGGCTCACCGTCTAAACCTCTCTGTTGTGAGTGCGGGCAAGATTCAGAATGTTCAAAATATGTTTGATACCATTGGAGAGGTAACTAGATCCTTTGAGTACTCCCCGAAGAAAGAAGCTCTCCTTGTCCAGAAAGTGAAAGACATCTGTCCTGAATCCCGCCATCACAAGCTCCTCGATGTTTGTAAGACCCGCTGGATTCAGGGTATAGATGGTTTGGAGGTCTTCCTGGAGCTTTATGAAGCCATCATTGCAACACTGGAAACCATCAAAGCAAATGCAGAAAGAAGTTGGAATGCAGATTCAACTAAGAAAGCAGTTAGCCATTACCATGTTATCACTAATTTTGACTTCCTTGTTACTTTAACAGTCTGCCAGGCAGTTCTAGCATTCGTTAAGGGGCTAACAGTTAAGATGCAAGGCACATCCAGTGACATACTGGGCGTTTTTAGTGACACTAGAGATGTAGTTAAAACATTATCTTCTGTGCGCCAAAAGGTACAAGACAACCATTTAAAATGGTTTCAAGAAGCATGCCAAATTGCCGAGAAGCTGGGCATCACAGTGCAAAAACCAAGAACCTGTCAGGTACAGCGCAACCTTGCAAACAACTGTGCTGAAACAATAGAAGACCACTATAGAAGAAATCTAATGATTCCCTTGGTTGATCATCTGATCAATGAGCTGGAAAATCAATTTGGCAGTGGTGACCAAGAAACAGCAGTGCAGTGCCTATTTGCTGTTCCATCAATGCTACTGGCATCAAAAGAAACATGTATGACGTCCTTTAGCCGGTTTTCCACGTTCCATGAAGATTCGTTGCCCTCACCTTTGAGCCTTGAAGCCGAGATGACTTTATGGCAAAGAAAGTGGGAGCGACAAGATCCCAAGACTGTCCCAACAACTGCATCAGCAACTTTGACGGAGATCGACCATACAATGTATCCTAACATCACAGAGTGCCTCAAAATATTTTCCGCCTTACCAGTCGCTACATGCGAGTGTGAAAGGAATGTGTCAGCTTTGAGGCGACTGAAAACATATTTACGGAGCACAATGTTACAGATGAGATTGACAGGATTTGCCTTGCTGCACATTCATTACAACATGGACATTGACTTTGACGAAATAATTCATAGATTTGCAAGGCTTCATCCAAGGAGAATGGAACTGGCAAATATATTGTCTGACTGACTCAAAAAGCCAGAAAAGTGTACTTTAGGTAGTTAAAATTGAAAAAATTTCCCAGGGAAGCATGCCCTGGGACCCCCCGAGGAGCTTGTGCCTTCGCTGCTCATTTTGCAGTAAATCGGTCAACATTTTTCCTAGATCCGTGCCTGATACACGTTTTCAACTGATGTTAATTACGTGTATATATTGGTTCACTTATGTCTGAGCTGCACTGTACGTGCAATTTTACGATAATCTTGTGCATTCTTTAATAGCAATACAGTGTTTCATGGTCTAATGAAGCATATAAAATTTATTAAGCATGCTGTAACTGACTGGTCTACTCTCAAAATCGGAAGTAAAATGTTCAAGTGCTTGCTTACAATTGCATTCGCTAAATTTACTTAAAGTACAATTGTTGACTTACATGCAAGAAAAGTAAACGAAATGTACCGTTCTGCTGGTTTCTGTGTCTATGTAAATCCGAGTTGGGGAATCAAAATATTTCCACCCATGAGCCACTTAAAACTTACCTGGAAAAGGCATTTACCCAAAAACAACATTTATTTAAACGATATTTAATTAAAGCTGTTAAGTGATCGCGTTACTTGAGTGAAACACTTCTCATAATAGGAGTTTGTTTGTCACTAAAAGTCAATTTGAACAAATTCACACGACAAAACACGATAAGATATCAACTTACATTGCCTGATTATGTCCACTTCTGCTCCGAGTTTCTTGTCTTTCCCGATGTCAACAGCTCAAAAGCATTCTGTAATTCCTAGAGATTTAACGAGTTTCTTCTATTTACAGAAATACAAAGGAAAACTAAGCAGGGATCACAAGTAATGGCGTCCGTCGCAACCGCCGCCATGTTATAGTAGACTATGACGTCACAAGCTTTTGCGTGGCTTGCCACTGACACCTTGATGAATCCGCAATGATCCAAGCGTGTCTGTTTAATACTTGTGACAAGTATTGTCTGTTATACGGTGTTCGAGGAGTATCACTAAAATAATTATATGCTTTGATTCTTGTCTTGGCGGTTTGATTTCTGAAATGATTTTTTGATTTCCAAAACTTGTCCGTTTGATTTCTCAAATGACACTTTTGATTTGCAAAATGCAGGAGGGGATTCATGATCCCGGCGTGACATCCAACTGTTGGTGGTCGGCCGGCCCTACTAGTCTGTTGTCAGCAGGGAATAAAATGGCCGCAACGAATAGAGAAGAAGTTGCCGGTTCGGTCGGTGGGTCATTCGTCCATTCAGTTTTCGTTTAAAATCAAAAAGTAAAAATTGATGTCAATTTTTGATTTTCATGATTTTTTATCATAAAAAATAAGAAAGTGCCAAATAGAAAACATTCGGCTATTTTCCTATCGGTAGAATATTGAAACAGAACTTATATTTTTACTTTAATCCTGCCAACAATGAAGAGAAAAATGAAACTGATTTTTGTTTTTCGGCCAAAACAATCCAAATCGTTGACAGAACTACCCCAGAGGGGGGAGAGGGGTCCATTCGCACGGTAAATTTTTTTGCCCCCAGTCCCGCCTCCCCACAGCCCCGCTTCTGGGAAGTCGAGCTCTCTTCTACTGTTGCTTCGCGGTCTTTCGCGACGTTTGGGAATATTTTGTAAATGTGTCTTTTCGTCTGTCAGTTCTGTCCATTATGGCGAGCAGCGAGACCCTCGACGTTAGGCAAGAAGGAAAAAAGGTTTAGTTTTCCTAACTTGAGCGGCTGATGTAAACATATCGAGACTAATCCTCGAGCTTTTCAGGCACGGCGCCATATCGTGAAACATGTATTGGCCTAGATTGGGTTTCTCAAACGAGGGATTGGACTTGTAAAAGCGAAGACGCCCTTTAAATTTTTAAGAATTCTCATGGGACCTTGTACATATTAAAGACAAGCTTGGAAGCGGGAAGTTTGATTCTGTTTATTTGGCAGATTTCAAATGAACGGATGTGCAGTACACGTGTTGTTTTCGAGAGGTCGAGAACTGAGTGAGACTACCTAATCCAAGCGATACTTTGAGAAGGAAAATGGAATTCTGAACAGAGCTAAAGGCCACAGAAATATCTCTAGGTTTCTGACATTTTGTCTGTCGCCTCATTTTTTTTTTTTTTAACTTTATTATTATTAACAATATGTACATTACCTTTACAATACGTACAAATAATACTTACAATACACTAGAATACAACAAAAGAAAAGAAAAATACAGCTACATTCACTACAGTAAGAATCTTAACATCAAAGAGCTACCACTCTTTTATGAGAGAATGTTACAATACTGGTTTGAGTGGATATGCAGAATAATAAAATGCCATGCACAAGGAAAACGATCATATGGAATAACAAAATGTTAAACAATTGATAACAAGACGAGTTTTTTCCGTACTTGATTTTATAAGGGGGTTTACACCTTAAAAGACCTTCTCGACCCTAATCTAGATTTCCTCACTTATGAAGAATTTAAATTCCGGTATCAGCTGCAAACAAATTTTTTGACCTATCATGATGGAGTGATCATGATAAACGCTATCCCACAAGAATATAAAAGGCAAAGAAGCGAACGGGTGTACAGCAAGAGCATCTTACACAACCATGGGAGAACTTGAAAGTGCTAACAACCAAAGCCATACATAAAAGTTTCGTGAAGCACATATTTGAAGAACCCACCACAAAACAACGCCTTATTGCCAATGGGTTAACACCGAACCAAATAAGCAAATACTTCAACTTAGCCTTCTCCATCACTATAGAATGAAGTTAACTATGTTCCAATACAAAACTTTACATGATATAGTTTTTACTGAAACCAAATTATTCAAAGCTAAACTTGCGAGCAGTGATCTTTGCTATTTATGCTCAAAAACAAAACAAGATCTAAAGCATATGCTAGTTTCATGTCCGGTGGTATCAGANATTTAAATATAGATTCTAAAGCATAAGTCTGTTGACTATTTTGCGTGTTGTATATGCCACTATGGTTTAGATTGGGCACGATTTCATCAGCTGACAGTACATGTATTTGGTTAACTATCCCACTAATGCGATCGCACTTCATATTTCGCAGCTGCTTTGCTACTGCGAGAAAGCTGATATATGCAGCCTGCCCGATTCAGGCAGGCAGATTTCTTATTGGTTGAACCTAGGTTCCACTGTATTGGTGAAGTATCGGGCAACCACCAACTATATCGTCTGATTGGAGTTATGGCCGGTACTCAACCAAGTATCAGTTTCCTAGGATTTCTAGTCTGACTAGCAATATCCTTTCAGAGTAACCATGAGGCTTGGATTTTTATTAATGGAGTGTTAACCTTACCATAGTTGTTTGTTAAAGAAACAAAAGTTAGTTTCTGTAATATTGACTCCAGTAAGGTACTTCAATGCATACAGTGGGAGATATTTTTTGCAACAAACCCGGAGTGCCTCTTCTTTGTACAGTTAATAATTCAACAAAAGAAGGTCTATGATAATCTCAGTATTGCTATGAAAAATGTTATCAGGCAGGAAATGCCAGGCTCTTCAATCAGAACCGACAAACAGTCAACAGGTGAACAAGTCTTCTTTATAGAGTGTGTTCATTGTCATAGAAAATCAGAAATCATTCAGTGGATAAAGTCAAGAAATTGTGATATTATTGACGATAATAAAGAAGACAGTTCTCCAAGTTTAAGCTGTGTGCATTGTCCCAAAGTTGAGTTATTCGTCGAAATGGTTCCGCACAAAATTATTGAACCTAGCTATGGTATGGAGCCTTCATTTCAGTGGACCTCCTTAGTCCTTCAATATGGCAGCCGGAAAATAGTGTAAACATCTGGAACTTACTTTGGCTATCTAGTCGCCTGATTATCTGAAGCGAACCGAAAAACATTTACACCAGCACTTTTCCTAATACTCCTAAAATGGCTAAGAGTCACGAGATAAGTGTATATTTTTCAACAAACACAATCTTAGCTTTGTCACGCACCGCCAAAACTCAGAAATTCAAAATGCGCTGGTTTCCAAACAAAGGATATTGAGCTGGAAAGTTGTAAACAGATATAAATTTAGTACCTCTTATGCCTAATGAGGATAAAAACTTTAGAGGCTCTTTAGTTTTGGATTTGAGAATTTGATGATGTCATGTGAACATGCTATTCATGCAGCAGATTCCAGGCTCTTATCATACTGGCAAAAGTTTATGTATGAAGTAGCTATGGTCAAGCAACTTGGCATTCCAACTTGGTTTATGACTTTATCCTAAGCTGATCTCAGATGGCAGAGCCATTTCAAATTATCACACAAACTCAAGGTGTAAACATGACTGATGAACAAGTAGAAGCTCAATGTTACATCTAAATCCTGTTGTTGCTGCAAAGCATTTCCATTATCAGGGCGGAAACATTTTTCAAAGGAGTGTCAATGACCAATGTTACTTGCTTGCCAACCATTTTCTTTATACAAATACTATTTAATTTCACTCAGCTCAATTACCTTTAAAGTTATTCTGGGTGAATTTACCTAAATTTTGCATTTAGATCACTCCACCTGGACTTGGAATCCTTTGTTTAAATCATCAATAAAATGCTTTAAGATGAACGCCTGTCTCAAGTTGTTCTAGGTATTACACAATAACAAAGCCATTTTTGAACAGTTCAGAAAAATTGATATCAAGTTTGGTTAAATTAAGTAATTTGTTGATTTTTTGAATGATAAGTAATAGTAACTGGAGCGAGTGGAGTACAATGCAGGGAGTAATCGCACGAGGCTGGTTTGATATTATGAGCATGATTACTCTCTGAATTGTATGGCACAAGGTCCAATTACTAATTAATTGTATCTATCACAAATTTCGGAATTAGAAATGAACTTCTTTTGAGCAAAAACATATGTAGCGCTTTTCATAAGTTTTGAAAACTGTAGGAAACATTGTGAAGGAAGCCACTAAAGCACGCGTAATTGATGTGTGAATCACGTGGGTATCCAATAACAAAAAGTTCAAATTGGATACCTGTAACTGGACACCCACATGATTGTGTGTCACTGCTGTGACAATAGCTTGTTGCTATTATGCTATTTACCAGTCTTCTCAGAGCAATTTGATCTAGACAAGAACCATGTTCTCACCAGGGCCAGGTTGAACAAAAGATAGGTAACTTAGACTGGGAGCAAGTTCTTGTCTTTGGGCCAGGAGTGCGAGTGGCAAAGCTGCTAGAGGACACTTGCTCATGTGCCAAACCAAAAATCAAGAAAGCAGTGCTTGAGTGGGAAACATAGACACTAGAGCCTGCTCTCAGGCTATGGGTAACTCTATTCACCCAAAAAAATCACTAAACCTGTGATTTATCCAATGGATTACCTTTTGAACAGCCGGGGCAGATGTATGGCTAGAGGTTCTTCAAAACTAGTCAGTTTGTTTTCGCAGTTACCGTTTGTGGTTGAAGTAAAGCAAAGTAAATATTAACCCATTCACTCCAGGAGCTTTTTGCCAAAAGAGATTGGAGATTTTCAGGCTGGATATGGGCCAAATTAGCTCCAATCTACTCACAAAGGCATTTGCAACATGACAGCATGCCTTTCTTTCCACTAGCATCGCGTTTTACGACATTTTTGCCCAGGCATGCGCAGAAATCAAAATTTTGAGAAAGTGACCTACGTCTTTAGGCTTTTCGATTTTTCAAATTTTTTTTGCGCGTTTCCTTTTT